TTTTATTTACTCATTAAAGGATCAATCCTGTTCCTTATGAGAAATCCACACCCCAAGCAAGACCCGAACCAACCAAAGGATTTTATTAATTTATTAAAGGATTTTCATTAATTTATTAGAATACTCTATTCATTTATCCAAGAATTGTTATTAATTTATTTGAAATCTTTTATTTACTCATTAAAGGATTAATCCTGTTCCTTATGAGAAACCCACACCCCAAGCAAGACCCGAACCAACCAAAGGATTTTATTAATTTATTAAAGGATTCTCATTAATTTATTAGAATACTCTATTCATTTATCCAAGAATTGTTATTAATTTATTTGAAATCTTTTATTTACTCACTAAAGGATTAATCCTTTATGAGTAATGGAGACTTTATGAGTAATGTAACTTTATGAGTTCCTTATGAGAAATCCACACCCCAAGCAAGACCCGAACCAACCAAAGGATTTTATTAATTTATTAAAGGATTTTCATTAATTTATTAGAATATTCTATTCATTTATCCAATAATTATTAATTTATTTGAATTTTTTTATCTACTCATTAAAGGATTAATCCTTTATGAGTAATGGAGACTTTATGAGTAATGTAACTTTATGAGTTCCTTATGAGAAATCCACACCCCAAGCAAGACCTGAACCAACCAAAGGATTTTATTAATTTATTAAAGGATTTTCATTATTTTATTAAAATATTATATTAATTTATGCAAGAATTTTTATTAATTTATTTGAAATTTTTTATTTACTCATTAAAGGATTAATCCTGTTCCTTATGAGAAATCCACACCCCGAGCAAGACCCGAACCAACCAAAACCCAACCCCACTTTCCCAGGGGTAAGAACCCTTTTGAAAGCCAAAAAATTGGGATAAATCCAATTTACCCCATTCCTTGTTCTTCCAGCGCCTCCACACCGAAGACCTGGGCCCAGTTCAGCCACGACAACATTTCCAGGGCAGAACAGGAAAAATTGGCGTCGGTGCAGCTCCGCTCGCTGATCAACAACATCATCCACGACGCGTCCGAGGACCTGCGCATGCAGCGGGCAGCGGTCAGCGAGGCCTTCGACAGCCACTGCAGGGAGCTGGACGG